AAAAAAAAAAAATCAGTAGCAAGCTGCTCTGTATTCCACAACTGTACACAAGGGTCTAAGAATCAATGATGGAAGAAAATAAAACTTGGAACACTCTTCACTTCATTGGGTTTTTTTGTAATTTGATATTGCTTCAGACAAATGTGAGGCCATCTAAATTCTGGACAGCTATATAGGACAAACATTTTGATATCCATTCCATGTTTACACAAAAAAGTTTTTATCAGGCTAAAACATTTCAGCCCTGAGGAGGCTACATTATGTTGCCTTGACAGAAAACAAGGGCAGCTAAGGCATCACTAATGCCCAAAATTTTGTGAAGTAACAGAGATCTAATTAGGAGACATATCTAGATGTGCCCTGCAGGCAAATCAGGCACATACTGCTTCTCAGCAACAATTCCCTAAACCAGCTCCAAACCTGGCCTTATCCCCAAACTACAGCTGTGCTCACCTCCAAAGCATCAAAATAAAGGAGAACAAAACTGCAGATAGATCTTGCCCATCATGTGCATGTAAGATATAAATATTTCATAGATATATACAGGGAAAAAAATTCCTGCCCACTCTCCTTGAGGGCATCAAGGTGAAACACAAGGGCTCAACGTAAGTCAGTGCTATTATGCAGAGCAGAGTGTGCTAAGGGCATGTTGAAAGCAACTTGGGTAACCCTCTGCACAAGGAAGCATATGCAGAAAATTATGCAAAGGTGTAGCAAAATGGCCTGAGATCACTAAGGAAGTTCATGTGGTTTATACAGTTCACATTTAGGAGGACCTGGATTTTTATGCCTATTCTTATCAAAAAAAGGTCAGATTAGATTCTTTGAAGATTGACGGCACTCACATAGAAAATCATGTTTATTCTACACAAATGAGCAAATTTAACCAAATAAAAGCTAAAATTAGACTGGGGAAAACAAACAAACAAAAAAATAAACAAAACAACAACAACAAAAACACAAGACAAATGTGGAAGTAACAGAAATTTTTTTTCTTTCAGTTTTATTGAAAAAACACTGCTTGTCTTTACATCCTGGATTTTAAGTGAAGTGCATAATCATAAGCATGACATTTTATTAGGTCCACATATCTTCACACAGCTATACTGTTAGCAGTTGGAGCCACATTCTTTCTTATCTAGAAGAGAAGCACTGAAATTATCTTAGTTCAGACCACATTTCAGGATCTCAAGTTCAATCTCTTAGACAACCCATGTAAAAAGTTGATGCTTACATATTGTCATAGTCAGTCTCGTATCTCCCCTGCTCAGCTATTCCTCTACTACAACTTATCTGTTTCTACAGAAAATGAAGGCCAGTAATAACATCTGCAATTTCTGCCCATTTTCAGTAAAAAATTTTGCTCCCTCTGGTGGAAGCAGTGAAAGCAAAGATTATTCTCTGAACTCACCATACCCTACATAGACCTAAAAGCCAAGATGAAAGCTTCTCTCTCCTAAAATCATTGTCACAGTAAATTTAAATCTTTCCAATTTAATGACAAGTAAGCTGACAAGTTATCAGGAAAAGTAATTTGGCAACAGAAATTCAGTAAGATAGTGACAGAATTAGAAATGGACCAAGGTCCAACACCCTATTTGTCAAGCTTCACCTTAGAGAAAGAAAAAAGCAGGAGAAACACAGATATGACATGAGAACAGATAGGAAAAACATAAGGCTAGGTGAGAGACATAACCACAGTGAAATAATTTAAGTTGCAACCTTGATCCATTACACAACATATGATACTCTACCAGCCAAGTTTTTACAATGAACCTTCCAATACTTCTTGGGAAGCTGTCAGGAGTGGAAAGGACCTAACTACTTTTATTCCTTCTCTCTCCTAAGAAGACAGAAGGAATATTGCTGTATATTAATATTTATTCACTCACTCATTAACTTTAAGGACTCAAGGTGATAGTTGTCGACAGAATGCTTTCTTTGCTGAGTAGGCAACTTAGGTTCTCCAAGACATGAAAAGATACAGTTTTTATGATGCTTTTCACTCCAAGCAGTGATTTTTTTTTCCTACTGCAAAATAAAAGGTATGTAAGGTTGCTGTAGGTTCTTGCTCACACCAAGCATCTTCCCTTGCATCAAATGACTAAAAATAACAGAAGAATTGGCACAAAAGGACTATAAAAAAAACCCATTAGCTTTTCCAGATAGCCATTTCAGTTAACTTGGTGCAAGACAAAACAAGAGCCAATGGAAGGGTTAATATAGCAACAAATTACTGCATAATACCTTGTTGGGGGATACACACAAGGGGGAAACAAGCTTTCCATTCCCTTAGCTACCTAGTACTCCAATACCAAGAAGAAAGGTCTAGGAACAGCAAACTCTTAAAGCAACAAAGCTTCTCTTTTGCAACACAGATGAGCACATAGAGGAGACTGCTGTGTCAAATGGCTCTAGTGGAGCTCATCTTTCATCTTTTGCACTGATCTCCAACGTGCACATAACCAACACCATTCTCAAACAGATCTCTACCTCTAGTTCTGCCAAGCACTAAGTCAAAAAGTAACCGATTTCTCACACTTGATCCACACAGAGATGTGGATCTGATTGATTAATCTTAGAGACAGCAGCCTCACCTTTAACTTACGTTTCTCCTTCCATTCACTGCCAAATAGGCAAGGTTCTTCTCTTCATTTGTTTGAACATCCAGAGAGTGGAATACTGTCGACACATGCTACCTGGATTTGTCTTCCAGGAGTTACATGCCTTAGCAGGATAATTAAATAGCAATGACTTAAATCACAATTTAAGCAACATTTTTGATACAAAGATTAGTATCTGCTTGTGGTCTAAACTGAAATACAGAAGTGGAGAAACAAAACCCATTCATTTCCAGTAGTTCTGAGAGCTGGTACTATACTGGAGTGCCCCTTTCAAGCAGCTGCTGTATTGGTATGACTGTAGTCATAGTACAGATTTGGATCAATAGTAAAAATAACCTACTAACCAGAAAACTTTTATTCTTCTGTTATTTTTTCAAAGCACTGCTACATTTTCATACTGACTATGTGCATAGTATCACCAAATGTCACGCACAATCTTCAGGCAAACACACTAAAGAGTATCAGCACTTTCTTCTCTGCCCTCATTCTCTCCTTCACTATCTTTGATTTGATTACACTGAATACATTTCACATTCTTTCTGTATTACAAACTTACTATCAAGATAGACTCTTGAGCTGAGAGGTTACAAAAAACTAACTTTTCTCTTTTTTTATCCATTATAGATGTATTCTCCTCAGTGCAGCATAATTTTATAACTCTTCAATTCACACTCCAGTCACAATCAGTGCTCTTCATATGCAACTGGACCTGTATTATGTATAGTCCACTGATGTCCAAAAACAATCTATGTCTGACTTCTAACTGCTTATAACCATCTTCTAAACTACACCTTTAGTCATCCTCCATTGTGATTACTCCCAAAAGCTTCAACAGAGCTCAAAGTGTACTTCATAAAACCTTGGATTTACAGGAGCATCTGTTGAGAAACATTCAATACAGGGAAGTTTTCCAGGCTTTGATAAAAAGTAACTTCATTGTCATCAAAATGCCATATCCACAATATTTAAAACAATTTTGGTAGAAGCCACACTATGTCATAAAACAATTAAATTTATGATAATTATACACCACCAGCATCATGCCATAAAAAGATGGTCAACTTTTATTTAGCTTGCAGTACCCTGTAGAAGCTGCATACTTTATGGAAATAAACACATGGCACCTGGCAAGAGCAGCTTACAGCTTGCAGGTATGAGGCACCCAGCCACGTGGTGCCATCGATCCCAGTCACAGGTATCTTTGCCAGGGGTGCACAGTATCCGTTCCATCACTGCAAGCTCAATTTCAACTTGCCCGCTTTCATCAGTTTTCTAGAAGGTACTTTTTCATGTGCATCCTTAACTAGGGCTCCATTCAAATAAACAGCTAGGGGAGTAGGGCAGGAAAAAAAAAAAAAAAGAATAAGTGTGTAGCTCAGTCACTTCCTAAATGCTTTCACTAGACATGCTCCTTCTTTTGTATTTTATTTCCAGTTACTTTTCTCACTTATTAGGTATATTTCATAAAACCAAACCATCAAAGTCTTTCTCTACAGAAGCAGACTGTTTTCCTTGATGTGTTTCACTCACACACACATTAATGAGGGCTTTTAAAAAAAAAATAAGAAAATGAAATTCCTAACATGGAATTTCTTGGTGCTGCAAAATTTATAGGAGTTACTTCAGGTTACTTTTCTTATGTATTCCTAAACACATAAATATTGTGTAGATTTAGGAGGTCTAGACCACTTCCCCCATAAATAAACATTCTGGTCCAATTTCAGTGATTAAACTCCGCAAACCTCAGTTTCCCAATCTTATCTTGTAATCTTCTGATGCTTTGTGAAGACAACAGGAATAACAGCCTTCAGGAATTTTCATATCACTGGGACAATAGATACCACAGAAATGCTCTGCCTCCAAAGTACATACGGACGCCCAGCAGCATTGTGTGCGGCGCACATTTTTAACGCCGCGTGTAAAACCCCCTGGCAGGCGCATCCAGGCGCAGCGCGCTGCTTTGCATTGGCAATTATTACCCAACCTTCGCATCGCTGGAGCCGATACCGGCCCCGCTCCCAGCTGCGGAGGCACATCTGGCCGACGCGCGATGCCAACAAGTTGGGGCGCGGCAGGGCCGGGCGGGACGCGGGTGGGATGCGGTGGGATGCGGGCGGGATGCTGGACCGGGCGGGGCGGGCGCACCTGCCTGCGGAGAGCGGCCGCGCCCCGGCGCCCCCCGCCCGCGGAGAGGAGCCGCGGCCGCCTCCCGCTGCGGGCGCTGCCCGCCCTGCCCCGACCCCACGGACGGACGGACGGACGGACGGATGGAGGGGCCGCGGGGGGACGGCGCGGAGCGGGGGCGCGGTGCGGTCCCTCCCCGGCGAGCCCCCGGGAGCGGCGGCGGCGGCGGAGCGGGCGCCTCCCCATCCTCACCTGGTCGACGGGCAGACGCACGGCGTTGCTGAGGGGCTGCAGCAGCGTGGAGCCCGTGGTGCTGGTGGCCATGGCGAGGCCGGGCAGCCGCTCCCCGCCCGGGCTCCCGCGGCGGCGGCGGCGGCAACAACGGCGGCGCGAGCGGCCCCAGCCCCGCACGGCGCCGTGACAACAAGGGGCGGGCGCGGCCCCGCCGCTGACTGACAGCGCCGCCGGCCAACCCGCGCGCGGCCCCGTCGCCGACTGACAGGCGGGCTCGCCCAATCCCCGCCCCCCGCCGGGATGGGCGGGACCAGGCGGCCCCGCCCGGCGGCCGCTCTGCGCTGAGGGCGGGCGGGGCTGCGCGCACCGCGCAGGTACCGCGCAGGGCTCCCGGCGGCCGCGCCCGGCCCGAAACTGCACCTGAGGGGTGTTAGCTTGGACATTAGGAGGAATTTCTACACAGAAAGAGGGATTACGCGTTGGAAGGGGCTGCACAGGGAGGTGATGGAGTCACCATCCCTGGAGGTGTTTAAGAAAAGACTGGACGAGGCACTCGGTGCCATGGTTTAGCTGACGTGGTGGTGTTCGGTCATAGGTTGGACTTGATGATCTCAGGGGTCTTTTCCAACCTAGCTGATTCTGTGATTCTGAGCACTGATCTGTGCCCAGGTGTGCGGGACGAGCGCTGAGGGCGTGGGTGGTGATGGATGCAGGACCTAATGGGAAGCGGCACCTTCCTGAGCAGGGTGAGGAGGCAGGGACAGCCGGACAGAGACAGCGGGACAGGGAGTGCGGTGCCGGCACGGTCAGTGCCCAGCGCTACAGGTGGCAGCTGTGGATGCGTCTGTCACAGAAGGTAACACAAAACCTTGTGGATGCAGATAAATGTTGAGATAACAAAGAGCCCAGCCGCCCATCCAGCTCCGAAACATGGCCACTTCACTAGGACGAGCACACAGCACTCAACAGCTGCGTACACAGAGGTGGGTGAGTGGTGGATACACACGGGACACGAGGGTGGCCTGAAACCCTGAAGTAGTTGCAAAAAAAAAGGGTAAAAATATCCCTATTCCTTCAGCCACCCATTGACTTAAGGAATTCTGTCCATGGCTGTAAGCCACAGTTTTTAGTTTATTAGTGGCCTGTTTCTTAAGTACAGAAACCTGACATGACATAAACATGAGTACTTTTTCTGTGGATTCAGTCTAGCAGTGCCGTTTCCTTAAAGAAAGCAAGAAGTGGTACAGTATTGCCAAAAGTACTGAATTGGTACAAAGAACAGCTCTTCCACCTATCCAGTCAACACTACACAATGTGAAACAGTGAGGTCTTGAGTGAAGGCACCATGTTAGGGAAGTGCAGCGAACTCTGTCAGATGAGCTGGTGCAGTAGGCTACTTATTAAATCATTCTGGTTTAGTGCCCTGCCTGCCTCTTTTAGGTTAGAGCTTTCTCTAGACTTTTTCTTTCATATGAAAGAACTGAAATATTAGTTGTTCTAAAAGATGTGGTGAAGGAGGTTCTGAAGGAATATTCTGCTCTTATCCATAAAACTACTCAAGAAACCTGTGTCTCTTGAGATAAAACTGCAGTTATTCCATGCACTTTATCAAACGTTTTTTATAATTATTTTGTGTTACACCTCTAAACCACACTGCAATCAGCAATTTTCCCTCAACACAAAAAGCATGACAGACTTGAAAGTGTGTGAAAGATGAAATGCCTTGACCAATATCATGTTAACAGTCTAAATGTGTCTGGAGTAGTGGCTAGGTGTAGTGTTTTACATAACCATGTAAGTTCATGTTTAATGCTAATTGGTAGTAGCAGGAAAGTGGAGGTAAGTGTAATTATCTGAAAACACACATTGTTTCTCTTTCTGAATTGCAGACCTCACTCTGTACTTATGTTGTAGCTTGTGGTAAGGTCTTTTGTCTGCATTTAAAGAGACTGGTTAATAGGTGCAAATAAGTGGTTTTAATTAGATTTCTTCACTGCATGACAGGCAATTACAACTGTGGTAGCATATGCAGCTTCAGAAGCAGTAGCATAATGTTCTTGTAATAAAGCAATGAGAGCTGCTTTCAGAAAGGAGAAAAACCCCCAAACTTTTCCCAATTAATTCTGAATTGGAAAAAAATATGTAAAATCATATATAAACCTGAAAATTATATATATATGTGAATAACTTCATAGGAATGCAGTGCCTTAGGCTCAGTACAGTCTTCATTACACTATACATATGTATATAAGTGTATGAAGATTAAGCTGGTTTTATCTAATTTTCTTTTATTAAGGAGACACATGCCTTCACGAAGAAATCTTTAGGAATCTTAACCTAAACATTCTTGAGTGAAACCACAAAAAACCCGCTTTAGGAAAGGCTGATAGCTAATTCTGAATCAGTCTAGTCACAAGAAATTAGTTTGGTGCATCTGTATAAATCCATGGAGGTGCCATGACTGACACTTTGATGAAGTACTTGCACCAAATAATTGACCCACTGAATGAACTCCTTACTTTTGATTAACAAAATGCCTGAGAACAAGCTCACGATATCACAGCATAAATGTCTGTTGGGTTTAAAACACAGCCCTTTATTTTTCTGATAATTTCTATTCTTTTGTCAGTGTATATGTTCTTGCAATGCTCAGAAAATAACAAAAATGTACTTCCTTGCATGACTCCTAGAATCTTAGGGGTTTATATATGAAAGATACATCTGTACTGTATATCACAGTATCTGTATAAATAGTTTGCAACTGTGGCATTAAGTTACATAGTTATGTCTTTCACAAGTTTCCACTGGAGAAATGCCGTGTTTTGAGAAGATTAACCTGTGCTCTTATTTAGGAAGGTGTGTGTTGGGGAAGATGACACCAGAGAAATATATCTTGAAAACAGTCACAAAATAATAGTCCCTTTGTAGTGACAGGGGAGTTTGGTTACATGGAAGAACAAAAGGGGTCCTGCTCCAGAAAGCTGAAAATCTATGTTTGCAATTAAAAGTGAAGAGTACAAATGTTGGTCAAGAAGAAAGTAACAGGAAAATGAGCAATTTCTACGAGAGAAAACGAGCTTGTCTTTGATGTCTGCTGTACAATGTATGGTAAGGGCTGTCCTGGGCACTGCAGTAAAACTAGGTCTTCTACTTTTCCTTTTTTTTTTTTTTTAATTTGAAAGAAGATTTTATTACAGATGCTTTCAGAGAACTTCCTGCCTGTGTGAGAATATTGTGTTGAGTGTGGGAAGGTGAAGCATTGTCTGACAACAGGCACCGTTCTGCATCACATTGGCACAGTATCAGTGTAGTTAGTCCTGAAAGTTAAATGATGCTGAGAAAAAAGAAGGCTGGTGAGTGATACACAGAAGCTGATGTACCAAGAGTAGTGAGCCTATCAAATTTCACATGAATCAGGTAGTTTTCAATAAACGTTACTTACTTTCCTCCTGTTTTAAATATTTTCATGTAAGTGAAAAAGAAATGGTTCTTCCACAAGGAAATTTTTTCCACCAGAAGTTGTCAGTTAAAATGCAGGAGAGCATGTAATCCCTGGAGAGTGGCTTGGCACACCATGAAAAACTTTTGATGTTCTACAATTAAGTTTTTATGATCCCATACATGCTTATATTCTTGGGTACAAAAATAATCTCAAAGTCATCTCTCAGACCTACCTCACATTCCTTAATCTGACAGAATGATGTAACAAACACTAGAGGGTTCCTGTAAATTTTGTTTATTTGAATGACAATTTAAGATACTCAGGTGCTTACAATACCAGTCTTCCCATATAACATTTACAATAAAATAACAAAAAGAGGAGCACTGTAGCAGAGGACAGGAAGGGATAAAGTTACTAGATGCACTGTTGTGTACAATTTTTTTCCTCTTTTTTTTTTGATAGGGCCATTCCGGGAACACATTCACAGTCAGAAAATAGGAACAGTTATTGAAATTTCTTTTAGCAAAATAAATGAAAAGGAAGATGGATTTCAGTGTTAGCTATAGAGAGTCAACCACTTTTCCACAGTAAAGTCTTATTGGCTTTGCTTACCCTGAAATATCTGAGACTTCATTCCAAAGAGAAGAATATTTCTGCAAAATCTGATGCCAATCAAGTGTAAATACTTTTCATTTAAAAATCTACTGTTGAAATTTTGGTATTTGTATTTTTACCTCACCCTTCCTCCAAAGCAGTCTTTTGCCCTCTCTTCAAATATTATTTACAGCACAGTAAGCTTCGCATGCATCAGCTGTTTTCTGAACTAATATAATCTTTAATTAACCATTTCTGCTATTTTGATAATTTTCTGCTCAGTGTGATTCCTTTTAATATAAGTAGAATGATACTGTTGCTTACCAGTTCAAGTAACATTTGTTTGTCTCTCTACTTATTAGGAAAAATATAAATACCTTTCTACAGTTTAGATACAAGATACACAAAATCTCCCTTTGGGTCTTTCAGCAGAACACTTTGGCTTCAGATTTTTTACTTGTTTTGGTCTTACAGATGCTGGTTTTAAGGTAGCAATCAGTTTCTATCATAAAACTGATTTGAATCAACTTTCCTCTAAGTGTTTACTTCTTGGAAATTCTCCATGTGTCTCAAAAACATAGTGTCACATTCAGATGAGACCATATAGGTTTTTAATTATAACACAAAGTCTGTTAACAAAATCAGGCAGAGCTTCTAAAGCAAGTTGAGTGTAAGCTGACTAAAGCTTACTGTTCAGCTGTAAATATCAACTCTCAGGTGCAGATCTGAGAAATTGTAATTTCCTTGCTAAAGGAACTTCCGGCTTTCATGATGAGGGCAAACCAACTGACTTCAACAAGAAGTTACTCTGATAAATGAGTGAGTTGCCTTTTCAAAGCAAATTCTACTCAAAAATTCTTTATGGAGAAACAGTACAAACTGACAGTGTACAGCATTTCAAAGCATAATAAGTAATGCCACATGTAGTTGGAGTATTGTTGTCACTCTGATAATTGAAAAGTTTAGAGAACAGAAGCTCTTTCTTCAGAGCTGAAATAAAAGCAATGAACTTCAAAGCTAAGTTATGAGCTTAAGAACAGTCATTTTGAGTTTAATTAGATACTGATTATAGACTGTGGGAGTGGCAGTGGATGGGAGAGGCTGGTG